GAAAGAACTTAAATTTAAGAATAGGCTTGGAGGGGTGATGAATTCAATTTCTGGGAGAAAGGTAGGCTATTAAAGAAAAATAGCAATTTCTGAACTGGCAAACTATTGCCAGAAAATTGGACTCTTCTGGCTTCTGAGATTTTAATTGCCCATACAGTTCTAACAATCTGCTCTTGTGCATTTACTGGCATTGAATCTTTCAAAAGGTGAATGAGGCGTTTTTATAAACATCTTCAAGAAAAACTGTTATTTCGCTTTCCGTGCTGCTGGATAAACAGCGTATTTTAATATGCAGCATCTCTTTAGGGCAAGCTCACCACAAGTACTCATCAAATGGGACAAAGGTTTGCTTCTTTGAAATCAAATTTTAACACAAAATGTTGTAGAATTCCAAAGGAATAAGGAAAATGCAAGCACCACTAGTGAAATGGTGAATGTGAATTCACTTGCAATGTCTTACTTAGGTGCACTGGAAGCTGGCACAGGAATAACAGACATTTTGGGTCTATACAGTATCTCTGTACCTCTGGCTACAATAGTACTTGGGGGACTGCCATTGTGCTTTGACATGATAAATGAATATGAATCATCATTTCTGGACAATTCCTCCTTGGTGTTCATCAGAGAGTATTTTAAGAGATTCAGAGCACACACAGAAAATGTCACACAATCCATTAATATTCAAAGCTTTCCTCAAGCAGCTGTCAAATGAACAGGAAGGATAAGTTATTTAGCCTTGTCTTGCTTTCCTGACCTCAGGCAGAACAGCTGCCACTCACAGTTGGGTTCTGGATCCACAAAAACATGCAACAACTGACAGGTTGCCTTGTACAAACAAGAGGACAGTAGAGCCAAAGAAAGGCTGCGTCAGCAGCTGAGCTTCCTCCGTCACATTCCCCCACCCCCTTCTACAAATACTGGGAGCAGGATTCTGGATTGCAAAAAGGTAGGTATATTAAATATTACCCAATACAGATGCTGAATCAATCCTTTCTCTAGAAGTTAAATTTCAGAATATAACTTTTTCCCTTAATGAATAAAGTGAGTCTTTTAGGCATTATATGTAAAGAAAATAGGCAGGTACAAACCAAGCTTATCAACAGGCATTTTCTGTAATTTGTGGAGAATTGTCTCTAAGACAGCAAGCAGGGAAGTGTTTAGGAACACTTTCTTGTATGCCAAGGATGACTAGAATAGGGAGATCCCGGCAACCACACTAGCAAGAAGTGTTGTAGAGATCTGCAAGACTGGTATAAGAGGGGATTTTTTTTAAAAGGGGGAGACCACCTGGAAAAATTGAATGGGACACTCATTCAAGGTGATGCACTCTTTAATTGCATGAGGAGGATTTCTGGTAGGAAGATTTCATTCATAGTGTAGATACCCAGTATAATTCAGAGGGGCGGCCCTCAAAACTCTGGGAGGATGAACTGGGACCTGAGGTAGTCAGATTTGGCCCAAAGGCCTGAGGTTCAATACCCCTGTAATATACACTTAGCTGAGAGTAAGTCCCATTGAAATCAATAAGGCTTAAGTATCTAGAACTTCATAGTGAGGAGTGGCTAACTTCCTGGGCAAACAGTTTGAAAGACAATGATCTGGATCAATGCCTGTTTTTGTCAAACGAAGAGTTCTATCCTCAGTTAATGAAAATAAGACACAGGAGAAGTGTGCAGTTCTGCTCCAGGTTGAAGACAGGAATAAAGATTGCTTCATTCTGTTTTCATGGATAGGATATTAGAGATGCAGTAACACATAGTGCAGATTTCCAAACCCATACCACCAAGAAGTATCTACAATGGCTCCTAACTACGCTTGCCAAGCATGAATGGTTGACTGTTAGCCTTTCCTCTGCTTCCTACATCCTTGACCTTAATTCTTCCTCTAGACAAAGCAGAATATGTCTTAAAAAGATATTGTCTGAAGTTCTAGAAAAGCTTTATATACCACAATGATGGCACTGAATGATTGTAAGCATCAGACTGCAGAAATATCCAGTTAACAAATAATGATAAATTTTATCATTTGGGGCATGGCTATACAGCTCTGCATCATAGCCATGGGTGGACAAAAGTAGGTGTGATTGCTAATCTGAGATGGTTGAAAGAACCAGAGATAAAGTGAGTGGGAAAGTGCCAGATGAGTTACAAACCAATTATCTATACAACTTACAGAGTAATTCTATACATGTCTGCTCAATATAAATCCAACTGAGTAAAATGCTGATTATTCCCAAGTGTGCGGGTATAGGATTGCAATCTTACTTTGATTAAAAACCCTACACATGGCTTTAACTGGACTGGGTCTTGTAATTTCTGCTTTCATAACAGGTCACGGCCTGTCTATGGTTGCAACTAGCCTTTGGCTGAAAGGGGAGTGGGAAAGCAGAAATGAACGTTCCAACTATGCAGGACTGCATGCTACCTGTTTGTTTAAACAAAGACTAAATTAGATTTCTGAGAATGAGGCACAGTTAAACTCCTCATATCAACACAGAAACCATGAAAGTGAGAGCTACAATTTGACTTGCTATAATGCCAGTTAGCTCAGGAAAGTGGAAGGCAGAAGAGGAAAAGGAAGACCAAAAAGATAGAGTGACTCCATACAGGAAGCCACAGCCTTGAATTAGGACAGCTAAGCAGGGATGTCATGGATAGGACATTTTGGAGGACTTTCATTCATAGGGTTGCCTAAGCCAGAGATGCTCAAAACAACAGCAGCAGCACGCTTGAGCTGCCATCAACTGACATCTAATAAAGAGAGGGCAGCACACTTTGGACTCCCTCGCTCAAAGAAAGGAGGGGAGGGGAGGAAACCATTTTCCATTACATTGCATGCTTCAAGCATTTTACCAAAAAATCGTTCTGTAGCATCTGTGCAAAGAACAGGACTACTGAAGCATACAAGGCCATTTAAAAAAAGCTGCCAACTCACAGTCTAAAACAAGGCCAAACCACACACTTAAAAGACAGACTGGGAAGCGATTTGTTGCAAGATACAGGGGACTTGATGACCTCATTGCTCCTTTCAAGTCTACTTGATATGCAGGAAGGTTAAACAAAGGGAATGAATTGAAGTTTCTCTTTTTCACAGCCACAAAACCTGTTTATGTTCTCCAGAACATTCCTCAAGAATTCCATTCTTTTATTAAATGCTCCAACTTCCTTAGTCTACTAAAATAGTGATTACTTTCTTAATTAATATGGCTAAACAAACAAAAGATAGCCATGTTGATTCTAAGGAAAATTCTAAAACTAGTATTAGTATAATACCTTTATTTGGCCAACTGAAAGATCACAAAAAGCATGCAAGCTTTTGAAATCTCAAGAAGAGATCAGGATACTGCAAAAGCTCCTACATGAATTGTGATCTTTAGGTTGGTGTAACAAAGATTTTGCACTGAGAATTAAGGGATATAAGTTACTGATGTATATTAAGAACACCCAATACTTATTATGACAGTCTCCAGTTTTCTTTCCTCTTTCTTTCCAGGTTTACATATTAATATGGAATACTGGAGTGGCCAGGGGTTATACAGCTAGACAGTGGATGCAGACTTATTACCCATTAGTACTGCATCTTTAGAACAAATGGCCAGGACACAAACATATTGTTTAAAGCTCTAAACCAGAGGTAAAGCATTCATCACAAAGGCTCTGGGATAAAGTCTTAACAATGACCTTCTTTTTAAACAGTTTAGTTGTCAAATTATCCAAAAAGGTAGCGATCTAAAGAGGTTAGGGCCTTCTGAGATTTCAAAAATAACTGTTATTTTCTGTATCTATTACCTGATACAAAACAACATTTACAGTTCAAAATATTATTTTTATTGCTTTTTCCAGAGAAATAAAAATCTGTAGGATACTCTGGAAAGAAACCATTGCTAAGAGAAAGTGTGCATACTTTGCATATAGGGGACCTCAGCTTCAGTCCCCAAGAATAATGAATACCTGTGGCAGGGCTAGGAAAGGCTTCTTTGAAAGAGTTCTTTGCGAGCCACTGCCCTTTAAGAACAGCCCTTCTGTATAAGTCTAAAAGATCCCATTTCTCCCCACGATGGCCAGCCAGAAGCCTACAGATGCCTCTCCTGTTGCCTCTCCTCAGCATCTGTTATTAAGAAATATCATGCCTCAAAACCTGGGCTCTATTTTGGCTACTTGCCAGTGCTTAAGTCCTTTTAAAAGCCATCAAATACTAGCAACCATCACATCATCTTAATTTAACAATACAGTGTGTGAAGAGGTATTTCCTCTTCTCTGATATGAACCCACATCAATGTTATTAGCTGACTCCCAACTTCTAGCATTCGCATGCAAGGAACTGGAATGGAGCCGGAAAAGAATCTCTTTTTATCCACTCTGAACTCTTCCCAGGTAAGTCGATATGGTATATCTTTCTCTCTCAGTTTACACAAGTAAGGAATTCAAGTTATTGCAGGCCTCTTCCGTTTCTTCCTCTACCTTGGCACTTCCTCATTTTCGTATTCTACCCAGGCAGCTGCGAAGGGGAGAGACCTCCAGCGTTCTCTGTACGATCTTGCTCAAACAGTGCAGAATGCAACGCATGTGGGTTAGAGAGGGCGGGGAGAAATCGTTTGCATGGAGGCACACAGACACCCTTGCACATCTTGAAATGCTGGTGCACTTTTGGTATTAAATTTATGTAATAAAACTGTCCTTGGTCATCAGCACACACAGCGCTCTACATAATCTTAATAAGCAAAAAAGTAAGATACCTGCCTTAACAGGAAAATACATTTTAAAAAGACTAAGCTTTGGGGAGGGGAGGCGTGTATCCTTTGGTCCCACCGGCGGATGAGAGGAGGAAGTGCTCCTTGTTCGTTCTTGTACAATTAACTTCTAAAAGCACGTTTTCCTAACAGCAAAAAAGATGCCATTCTTTCCCCATCACATCCGTGTAGACGGCGTGATTAAATAAAGCAACTGAAACAATTTTAAAAAGAAGCGAAATATTTAATTTCCTTTCTAAAAGTGTCTTACCCTTCTCCTCCAGGCCTTCCCTTCTTCTTGCTGCTGCTTGCTGCTGGCCGCTGCTGCCGCTGCTGCTTTTGTCCAAGTCTTCTTTTCTTCTCTTACTGCCGCTTTCCTCTCCCTCCTCCTCTTCTCATATGGCTAGATGGATTCCAAACCCTACCATAGGGCAGCATTTTCCCCACGTGTTGCTTGCCTGAGCAATGCCTGACTTCACCCATTGGCTCGTCTCTGTGGGCAGAACACGGCAGGCTTGCTTGGGAGAGGTGGGAGGGCGTTGCAAAGGCTTACGGGAACTGTAGTTTATTTACCCGTTCGCTCTTTGCTGTACGGTTACAGACCTGGGGCTAGAAAAATCGAAAATAAGGACATTTCAGGTGAACTGAATCAGAATTACATTATTTTTATTTGTTACTTAAAATATAATGGTCGATTGCTCTATAACTAGAACTTAATGAAATATATATTTTAAAACGAGATCACTATAGTTTAACGTAGTTACTGAATATTAAAAATGCATCTGAACATATAAATCTCAAGACTTCTCAAACTATCCCCTTAGGTTTATAATTTAGCTTGTATTTTTGCAATTGTAGCATATTTTTTCTAGCTATTATGTATTTAAAACATATATTCAGCAGATCGTACATATTCGCCATTAGGTAAGACAATTATTCACGGTAGCACGCATACCTAACTTTTCAGTTAGAATTTCCAATTTAGAAAGTAGTTACTGGGGACAACTCTTGGAACCTATGCTAAATAAACTTGGGGTCCAATTCTATGGATATTTTGGAAAAAATGGCCCACAACTGGGAGCTGTAGGATGCTTTTTTGCCAAAACAAAAGACTGGACTGTAATGGTCTATAATTATTTGTTAATTGTCCATTCCCTTTTTTGTATATTGAGCATTGCAAAACGCCTTTCATTCATGAGTGACCACAACGAACCCACATAAAGATTACAAGATATAATTTGGGGCACAGGAAGAACGGCCTCTTCTGTTTAGGGGCTCAGCAACTTAAGGCCTCTGAACCACATCTTCTGGACAGGTGCCTAGCCCTCACTAATGCTAGTGTTCCAGTTTTGTGGACAAAACACCAAATTGTTATTTAAGGTAAATACACTGGTTTAGTATTAGTATCCTCTTGTCTGCATGTTCTCTGTGAGCTTCAGTCAGAATACAGGCTTCTGTTAGGGTCTTACTACATATTTATCAATAATATAATCTCTGCCAAAATTGGGACCAACAGACATTACCAAATGAAGTATTGCTTGACTTTGATTTAAAATAATAATCATATAAATTATAAAAATTTGCCTCCCTAGAAGTCTTGGGAATTGTTGAATTAATGTTGAATTTTGCCTTTTTGTAGCTATTAGAAACCAAATTCTAAAAGTAATTTAAATCCTTGTTTTTACTATCAGCTCGGGTGCCAAAATTGGCCCTCTCATGGACCTCCAGATGTTGTTGAACTGCAATTCCAATCAGCATTAGCTGGCATAGCCAATTGTAATGGATGATGGAAGTTGTAGTCTAGAAACATCTGCAGGGCCACAAGTTGCCCACCTCTGTATTAGGTGGATAGAGGCAGCCACCTTAGGTAATTGCTTCTGATTGTCTTTAAAGGGCAGCAAATTTTTAATTATGCATTATCATTATCATTCTTTTCTTTTGCTTCCAGGCTGGGTTTACATGACTCCCTTACATTTTCACTTTTCTTCTTCAAGTGCCAAAATGTGTTGACTTGAGTATCATGCATTTAACCTGAGGAGGGAAGCATGTGCTACCCCGCCTCAGGCAACAAAATTTTGTGGGGACTGCTTTATATTGTTGTTTCCACAGAGAATCACAAAATTGTAACCATATCCCCCCTCCTAGTTCAATTCCTTGTAGAATTGCTCCTAGTTCCTGTTATTAGTTGGTATCACTACCTAATTACTCCTCTGGCAGTACTTATAAACTGTGTGGGGCAGAGAAAGATTTTTTTCCTTACAGTACGTTATTAATCATCACCATCACAAAAAGCATATATAATGCTGTGATGAAGTGTTAAGAACATTATCGATAGGTACATCTTATAATCCCTATAAAATTTTGTAGGGTGGGTCAGCATTAATATCCTCACTGGGGGTTCTGAGACTGAAAGAAATGTGCCTAGGGCTGTATGCCCTCATCTTCCCCATCTAGAAAAACAGTGAAATCCCTGGTTCAAATTCCATCTCAGTTATTTGAAAAACTTAGATAAGCCACTGTCCTCTTATCCTCAGTAAATACCCTGCCTTTACAATATTATTATTATTATTATTATTATTATTATTATTATAACATTAATATGCCGCCCCTTGCCGAAACCTCGGGGCGGCTTACAACATGATAAAATACATTGAAATACAATAGTACATAATAAATTACCATTAAATATAACAATACAAAAAATACATTGATTTACAAATACAAAATTAAAATTATCAGTATAAAATAAAAATATAGGAGGAGAAAGAGAAGGAAGAAGAAGTTGCCCAGGCCAGATCATATGTTTTAACAATTGAAATGATGTTTAAATAAAAAGGTCTTTACCTGGCGCCGAAAAACCAGTAACGACGGTGCCAGGCGGACCTCTTTGGGGAGTGAATTCCATAGGTTGGGCGCCACCGCAGAGAAAGCCCTCCTCCAATACCTCTGATTTATATTACTGGGTGATTGCAAGAATTATGGTATTGTTGAAATAATGTATTGTTATAAAACTAAAAATTTGGAGTGGAGAGGGAAATGAAGCCAAACTGTTGGATATTTCTGAAAATTAAATAGCAAAGTTGACAGGTACCTCTTTTTAAAGAGCATTAAGGGCACAATCTTGTGCAAATTTAGACAGAAAAAAGACCCATAATGATCAGCATAGCTTAGCCAGCGTATCTGTTGTAATTTTTCCTGTCAAAACTTAAGCCTTAACTGGTTGAATGCTCTCAGTAGTTGGAGCTTTCTCAAGTCTTGTGAAGGGAGATAAGATGTAGCCCCACCCTCCAGATGATCATAAAAAGACTGTGAAGAATATATACACTTTAAATGGACCACACATATACTTCTGCCTCTGTGTATGATTTATAACTGACATGTAGGTCAGGAGTCTGATGCTGTACCGGAGTTCATGATACTTGATTTTAAGTACAAGTAACAGTTTCACAAGGAGAAAGGGTTTGCAAAACACAGCATCAGAAAAGACTCTTCTAGCTTTTTGTACTTTTATGTACACCTCTATGCAGCCATTGATCACCTGATAAAGTGACAACTTTCATTTTGGTTTTATCTTTTAAAAAGAACTTTAAAAGTACTGCTTTATTAAGTGATTCTGAGTGATCAGGTATTATACAAAGATTTCATGGTGCCACATAGCATGTTAGATATGGATACAGGAGTGATGTTTGACAAGTGCTTCACAAAGTTCTTATTGTGCAAGTGTGTGAGCATGTGGATGTGTGTGGAGGGGGAACATTCCCAAATTGCCATAATAACCCAGCCAGTATGGTCTTTCTTGTTATGCCCCAATAGCAGCTTTATTATCCATCAGTGTAGCACAGTAAAATTTCAGCCTCAGTTTACCTCTGGTAGCACATAATGTGTAAATCATTGCCACACACAATGCAAGTGGGATGTTCATCCAAATGTGGAGGGTGCTACACTCTTTACTTTCATCAAAATGTATAGTCCCATCCACTTTCTCCTGCAGTTAGTCAATTAAGAACAACTGGATTGGGGTGAGGAAGCGATAACATAATTGCTTTGACAACAAAGACTTATTTGTTTTGACACCTATTCCTTTCTGAGCACTTTTGCATCTCCAACATGGCTGAAAATGACAGGTGTTTTTCACAGGAAGGAGAGAGACAAAATGTTGACAAAATATTTTATAATGTGTGTTTTAATTAAGATTATTTTATATGGATATTTTAACTTATTGTTTTATCTATGTTGTAAGCCGCCCCAAGGCTTCGGCAAATGGCGCGGCATAAAAATGTTTTAATAAATAAATAAATAAATAAAATGTGGGCCAATACAGAAATCAAATAGGTTATGTAATTGGAAGCAGAAATCGGAGAGGTTATATTCTTGTTGCCAAAACCAAACTGCAGTAGTGATCATCAACTCTTAATTTCAAAAATCAGTCGAGCTGAAAAAGATTACCAACAGAAACATATTGCCAAAAAATAGCATCTCTGAAGAACATGAAGTCAACAGATTTGCATTGCTCAACCTAGCTGACTGTGAGTCAGGAGAACTATGGACTAAACCAGAGGCTTTATTAGGGAAGGATGCCAAAGGACAATTCCTGTAGCAAAAAGAAAGAAAAAGTCTGTATGGATGACAGAAGAAACACTCACAGCTGCAAAGAACAGATGACAAGCAAAAGCAAAAATTAACAGAAATAGTGTTAGAATCATGAATGCAACTTTTCAGGAATGCAGTACTGGTGCTAGAGGAGAGCTTTGTGAATACCGTGGACCAACATAAAGACAAGCAGATGGGTCCTAGATTAAAGCAAGTCAGAGCTTTTCCTAAAAAGAAAAAATGGCAAAACTGAGGCTGTCATACTTCAGACACATCATGAGAATGCAAGACTCACTGGAGAAGACAATTGTGTTAGAGAAAGTCAAAAGTAGCAGAAGAAGGCCAAATAATGAGATGGAAACCACAGCCTTGAAGTTGGACGGGTTGAATGGAACTGTCATGGACAGGACATTTTGAAGGACTTTGATTCATCGGGTCACCAAAGGTTGAAGATGATTTGACAGTGTATAACAACAGCAGGAACATTTTAGCTCAGCACTGTTTGCTTGGCTACACCTCTTTTACATTGCTTAGCACCAGACTGCCTCTTGTTTTTTGGAACTTGGATTTGGCAGTATTAAGCAAGAAAGATAAAAATTGCAAAAGAGAAAGAAGTGGGGAGAGCAAGAAGGATTGGGGAGATTGAGGCTTTCTGTCGAGGCCTGGGGACAGGGAGTGTAACAGAAATGGGGCGTTGGTTTTACAAAGCTGATCTGAAGTGAAATCACAACAGGGTGGCCTAATGGTGGTTTGACTCACAGCAAGCTGTTACTCATGCTTTGGACAAGATTTGAAAGGATGTTCAGGCGCACGCGTTGGATTCTTGGAGGGCACAAGGCCATGATGCCAATGACCTTCCAAAAGAGGCCAGAGGAGGACTGAACACTGGGGAAAGGGAGAAAGTTTGGCAGGAGAAGCAGAATTGCCTCACCACCCATTTCATTGATGAGCTCTCGGTCCAAATCATTACATCAGCTTTGTAAACATGCACACATGCACAGACGCACATAACTTAGGAACACAAGATGATGCCATATACCAAGGTAGAA